AGGGCACATGTAATCGCACCCCCCCCCCTTGACCGCCAAAGGGGGGGGGGGCTATCTCCAAAAAAAAGTAAAATTAACGTGTTTTTACACGTTTTTTCACAGGGCGGTGCCCTCAGAAACTCAGGGGTTTTATAAATCAAATTATCGTCGGTTGAGTGTAATTTTATACCTTATTTGTGACACTGGTAGGTCACGAATTGGCGTGGGGTCCAGAGGGCGGAGCCCCCGGAAGCTCAGGGGTTTTGGGCCATAAATAACGGTCAGATGAGCATGTTTTTATACCTTATTTGTGACACTGGCAGGACACAAATTGGTGTTGGGTCCAGGGGGCGGAGCCCCCAGAAGCTCAGGGGTTTCATACATTAAAATAATTATCGTCAGATGAGCATTTTTATACCTTATTGGGGACACTGGCAGGTCACGAATTGGTGTGGGGTCCAGGGGGCGGAGCCCCCGGAAGCTCAGGGGTTTTGGGCAATAAATAACGGTCAGATGAGCATATTTTATACCTTATTTGTGACACTGGCAGGTCAAGAATTGGCGTGGGGTCCAGGGGCAGAGCCCCCGGAAGCTCAGGGGTTTTGAGTGGGCAATAAATAACGATTAGATGAGCATATTTTTGTATCTATTTGTGACACTAGCAGGACACAAATTGGTGTTGGGTTTAGGGGGCGGAGCCCAAGAAGCTCAGGGGTTATATACATTCAATTATCTCATTAAATCTCATTAAATTAATAAGCTCAGGGGTGTTAAGCATTAAATTACCGTCAGATTAGCATCCAGCCGTCCGCATTAGGATCTTAGGTGGGGTCCAGGGGGCAGAGCCACCGGAAGTCAAGGGGTTTTAGGCATTTCATTACAGTCGGATGAGCATATCTTGAGACCTTTGATATCTTTACCCTTTTATGTCTTTTTTTTTTCCTTCTTTTTTTTCCTTCTTTTTTTTTCCTTCTTTTTTTCCTTCTTTCTTTTCCCCTTCTTTTTTCCCCCTTTTTTACCTTTTGTTCCCTTCTTTTTTTTTGCCCCGCCCCCCCCCCCTGGATCCGCTACTGCATGTAACGGAGAAGGGAAAGAGACACTTTTTAGAAAAGAAAAGGAGCACGTGTTGAAGTAAGCTGGGTAATTATCAGAGGTGAAAATGGGGCACTTCTCACAACCAGCTGAAAAGGGGCACTCGCTGGAGATGAAAAGGAGCTTTTATAAGAATGAAAAAGGGGCAATTATTTTTAAAGGGACACCTATCGGGCATTTATCAGACTCTGAAGTGTAAAAAGGTCGTTTATGAGAAGGAAAAGGGGCACTTGTCAGAAGAAAAAAGAAAGCACGTGTAAAAGTAACAGGGGCACTCATCAGAGATGAATAGTGACTATGAAAAATTGTATACCTTACCCTAAAAGTTTTCTGCACACGATTGTGGCATTTTCCTAGATTAACAATTTAACAATGTAATCTGCGTGCTCCTTTTTGTGTGTATGATTTGTGAATTATGTATCCTTTTAACGTAATATAAGCGATGTGTGATTTAAACACCTTTTTTTCTTCAAAAATGTGGCTGTTTTGTATACCCTGAATGAGTCTGCCTCCAATGGCAATACCCTTTTCCTTCATGTGTGTGTACGCGCATGGTGTACAAGCTGGTTCATTACCACGGGAATCAATAAATGCATTCATTATTTTAGGATTCATTGTTTGAGTCATTATGACTACTCGAGTACTGGTATCTTTTATTCATAAATGTTATTATTTCAGATCAAGATTATTTAAAGTGACACACATGTTTTCATTATGATCATACTAGTTCTGCATTTTGTAGATAGGCCTACATATTAGTTAGATATAAATTTGAGCGTTATCAATCGCATTCTTGTGTATTCATTTTTTTTGCGGAATGTAATAATATGTATGGAAGGTCCAAAATCATGATGGTAAGGTTATTTCTATCTTTAAATATCTTTTTCTAGATAAAGAAACTGATAAGTTTCATAAAATTACTTGCTTTAAATAAATTTTAGCACGGGCCCTCATTACTATGATAATCAGGATATAGAATGAAAGACATTTCCTTTTTGAAAGGGATCTTTGTTATGGCTATACTTACCTTAATGCCATTAGTGTGCATCTAATATTTTGACTTAACTTGAAGCTGATGGAAAACATTCCTAAATGTCCCAAAATGTTTGAAAATACCGTCCATTTCACTACTAAACCCTTTATTTGACAGTATTATAAGGGATACTATAAGTCTGTGTTGTAGCGTATTTAGGCCTATGTCATATCCAAATGCTTGCATTCATTTCGATGATACTAAAGCCTGTCATTCCTTGAAGTATAACTGCATATAATCTGAGTCTAATATGATGTTGTTTAGTGACGTAAGGTTCAATAGCGTAGCGGGGGGGGGGGGGGCGTGTCCCGGGCGCCACTTTTTAAAGGGGCGCCAAATTATCGGTGACAAAAAAGAAAAAAAATCAATGATTGGTATTGGTTAAACTGATACAGTTTTTGTTATAAATACGACATTCATCTTCCATACGGGTTTTCTAATACGGTTATCTATATCGAAAATCGAAAGCTTCCGTGACAAAGTGACCCCCATGATCTTTTGAAACGATTTGTTGGAGTGAAATGGATGTTATCTTGTCGTAGCGACTGTTCATTAAATCAATTAGGCCTATGAGAAAAGACTAGCCTGGCTGCCCGGCTATCGAAACTCGAACAAAGTCAAGGTAAGTATAGGATATAATTAGGCCTACGTATTACTGAAACAAAATAGAATAAAGAGCCCTTATCAACTGACAAAATGGAAGAAAATCTAAGCGTTTTAAGGTCTAAAAACCCAAGAGCCTTCCGGTGGCTCTGACCCTGGACTCTCGCTGGGCTTTGCCTATGGACCCAGAGGCGGCGGAGCCGGGGAGGGGGCAAAGCGCCCCTTTGTACATATAAAAGGTGCCCCCTTTTACTTCAGATAAATGCCCTTTAAAAAAAATTAAAATAGGTGCCCGTTCTACATTCCTATATGTGCCTCTTACCATAATTGCCCCTTTTCAAATCTGACAGGTGCCCATTTCCCTCCCGAACAAGTTCCCTCAGTTTATTTTGTAATAAGTGCCCCCTTCCCCTTCTAATAAGTGCCCCTTTTCATCTTTGATGAGTGCCACTTCTCACCTCTGATGAGTGCCCCTTTTCTTTTTACACTTGCCCTTTTTTCTTCCTTGTAGGCTAAGTACCCTTTTTCTTTCTGATAAATGATTCTTCTAAAACCTCTGAAAGAAGCCTTTATTAAAATTCATAGACTATGAAATTTTATTTTGTCGAAGGAAAATGTGAACCTGGTTCTTTTTTAAAAAGTGTCCTTTTCCCTTTGGAAACGTGCCCCCGATTCTTTTCACCATAAACTGTGTTCCTAACTTAAAGCAACTGGTAGCAAATTTTTCTTTAATTTCACCCACAGCTCGCACGCATTTTTAAATTGATATAATTTTGTTTCTTAATTATTAAAGATAATTTTAGTCTTTCATGATGAGATTATAATCCTGTATAAATATTGCGATATTTTATGATCTTTAAAATGTTCTTTCCTCGTGGAAATACATAGCGGTTTCTAATATTCTATTTTCACGAAATTGACGTTATTTCCAGATAAATTTTAACAAAACTGAATTTCTTTTGCGGCACCTCAGGGTGTCACGACACCACGGTTAAAAGAACGCTGGTAAAGGCCATAATAATATTTCCCGACGGACCCTCCATGATCCTTGAATAATGACCCAACTTAACCTAGATATCCCCCCCCCCCACTCGATCCGGGAACGGAGGGACTGCATTCATGTTCCCCAAATCTCCGGTAAAGGGGTATTTTTCACGCAACAAAGTCTGGCTCGTAATACACTAAAAATCGGTCGGTATTGACTTTACACATCAGACTTAGGGGGGGGGGGGGGTGCAACATGACATACGTTCACCCTAAATAATTGACACTGAGTGTGTGTGTGGGGGGGGGGGCAGTGGTGGGAGGGGCGGAGGGCCCGGTCCCCTTTCCCTTGCCCGAAAAGCATATAATTATAACCTTTGTGAAGAAAAATAAGACGGGCCCCCTCCTCCTGGCTCAAGCGGGAGGGGGGTGTTAATTTTTTTTTTAAATCACGAACTGCGGGGAGGAAAAAATAGTGCTCCTTAACCCCCTCCCCCCTGCTTATTCGCCGCTAAATATTCACCACCAATTGGGCCCCCTCCCTTGCCACCGGCTGGATCCGCCCCTTGGGGGGAGGGGTCCTGGGGTATTCAGATATACGGATATAGAGATGCTTATTAGTAGGTATATAACAAAAGAAAAATACATGCTCTTCCTGTCGGATTGAATTTTTGACGAGGGTTTATAATATATGCCTTCACAGTTAACAGTTGTTTTAGTAGAATGTCTTATATTACGTTTGTTTGATAAATTCCTGCCAAGCCAGTGAAAGTGTCTCCACAAGGACCCTAGAGCTGGGTGGGAAAAACTAGTAATAAATAGATAAATAAATTTAATTCTAAAAAAAAAAGTGTGTGTGTGTGTGTGTGTGGGGGGGGGGGGTCTATTTCTTTTTATCATGTTTGATGAATGTTCAACTACTTACCTCCTGTATTGTATTGTATTTGTCAGCTTTTTGAATTTGATTTGTTCATCATTCTATACACTTTAAATTGAGAAATTGGAGGCGGGCCTGGGGTATTCAAGTTTTGACTCTTTACGGATAGAGATGCTTATTAGTAGGTATATAAAGAAGAATAAAAAAAACATGCTCTTCCAACTGTCGGATTGAATTTTTGATGAGGGTATATGCCTTTAAAATTAATTTTTTTTAAGTATGTCTCATGTTCGTTTTATAAATTCCTGCCAAGCCGGTGAAAGTGCCTCTCCACAAGGACCCTATTCTTTCGAAACCTCCCGGGTGGGAAAAACTAATAAAGAGTATGAAAATTTGATTTTAAAAAAGGCATGTGTGTGTGCATGTAGGGGGGGGGGGGGTAATTCTTTTTATCATGTTTGATGAATGTTCAAACTAATGACCTCCAGCTAATTACTTGTTTCCAGGTTTTCTTAGGAAAACGGCCACCAAACAAAGTTGTAGTTGTAGAAGCACAAGTATGAACTAGACAATTTCAATACTTGTTTAGCCCCAAAGGTTTGTCTATGATCAGGGATGATCAGATGGAATGAATATTGTATTTGTCTTTTTGAATTTGATTTGTTCATCTATACTTTAAATTGAGAAATTTTCTTTCTGTTTCTCATGTGAAAATTCAAGATGTGGCGCCTAAACGTGACGTCACATCGCAAGTTCCTGCCGCGATTTCCCATAAATCACCGCGCTGATCTGTGTGAAAGAAATATATCCGCGATGTCTAGATACTGCTTCTCGGGCAGGACTACGGCACTAGGGCTCCGTTTGGCTGCTTAGAAATGGTCTAATGCCGCCAACCCCGAGCCAGATAAAGGAGCTGCTGCTCAGTGCAATCGACAAAGATGAAAATGTAAGCATTACTTTTTCGTATTTTTAAGACTTTTCCTCTAATTTCGACTTTATTCGCCAGTCTTTCAACTATTCGAGATCGCAATGGTAATCCGCCATAGGCGCCCGCGTGCTGTCCACGATCCATTTTTCGGAAAGAAATTTCGCTGATTTCGGCAAGAATTCATCGCAGGTGCTGCTTGTCAAAAGACCTCACAATATTCAGTTTGTAGCTTGACTTCTGTAGACAAAACTGGTATATATTCCAAATCAGCTGAAGTTAGATTTTCGGTCAAATTTAGCATCGTTTTGAATGTTGTCACGATTTTGTGGAACGACGAGGGTCCATGTACACGGTTAGCTCGCCTGCTGCAGAATGAATTGTTGACCCATTCGGGGCCTATGAGAGGTCTTGCCGAGCGCATGCGCAAGTCAGACAGTATCCCACGTCGGTGAATGCAGTAAGGGGGCTCATTATGCAGCGATATCGGCGAACATCACTGCACAGCCAGCCACCTCGGCATGATCAGCCAGAAATGTACCGCAGAGTTGCAGGCGTACACGAAGAGCATATTCCGCCCTGTTGTTCCGTGCAGCTAGTGTGATAGGCTCTGCCGCGCTGACTCGTCATGTACTGTGCACAAGACTTTGAGTTACCTGGCTGGAGTGGAGGTATTATTGTCAGAGAATGCAGCTTAATAAAAGCGAAATAAGATGAAGAAGAGAATTAGACTAGATCTAGAGCCTAGATTCTACCATGATTGTCTTTGACCCTGACTGACTCTGTTGAGTTTCATATTTGTTAGATCTATGTCTTGAACTATTAATTATGAACTAAAAATAAAATGATCAACATTCAAATCGATGCAATACTGATTGTGTGGCAGTGTGGGCTGAGTGATGTGTGATTTGTGTTTGGGTGACTATTGGGTGTCCTTTCAAAAGATAAGGGGAAAAAGAGAGAAGGTGATGGGATTCCAGTGGCAGTGGTATTTAATTGGAAATCCAACCTTGATAAGAGTAAACAAGTCTATAAAAAGAAAGCTGAAAATATCAGGAGAGCAGACTGGTGAAAGTTTGAACAAAATCGGACAAAAGATAAGAAAGTTATGAATTATTGAAAGTTGTAATTAGATCTAAGTCACTATGACTATGACAAGTAATAGACTGGGAACTTTAAATCGGCTGAATCGTATTGTCACTGATATAGTGCTTGACTTCTTTCTGATTTGTTCCAAAACAAAAAAATGTAGGTCTCAGGAGGGTCTATTCTATAGGACCTATAATGATGTTAAGTAGTGCCCTACATGTAGGCGCTTAAGGAGAAGGCACTTTAATAGTTGGGAGAAAAACAGAAGTTAACGATATTTTGTAGTTGTACAAGACAAATTATGGGAGAGTTGTCTGTGACTACATGTACACCACAATGCACTGACCAAATTGCCAATTTGAGATCGGCATACGTACATGTAGTGATCTGAAGCTTCAAGCATTCATTCTCCCTTGGGACACTACTTGAAATATAGTATGGGTAGTACATTTATTTTCATTGTACATATAGGTCCTTTAAAAAGAAAAGAGAAAATCGAAAGACCCCCCTTTAGTCATACATTTTGAAAAAAAATACAAAATTAATTTCTGCTCTTCTCCTATAAGCGCCTTCTCCTGATCCTGGAGCGCTACTCATAATATATCATGGATATCATAGCATTAATATTACTATGGGTCTTCTAAATAGAAAAGACTTTCCTAGTCATACATGTATATCTTCTTAAGCAACAACCTGTTTAGAAAGACCATGCTTTTATGATGTATGAACCAGGGCTCAAATTAATTTTTTGTCCACGGGGGCTCTTCCAAAAAAATAGAGCCCCCGTGAGCCTTCTCACGGGGGCTCTTTTAGTGCTGACGGGGGCTCTTATTTTAATACAAATTTCCATTGAATTGGTTCCCATGAAACTCCAAAATTCCTTGGTATTTTATCATCAAAAATCAGGCGATTTTTTGGTGCCATTTTAAACCCCCGTTAGTGATGTTTTCCTGGCATCTACTGACATCTACTAATACTGTGTAGGTCTGGACACATGATAACATTTTTCTATGCCCATCACATTTTCACTTGGCAGCCAAGGAGAATGGGGGGGGGGGGGGGGGGAGGGTTAAACCACCTAAACCGCATAGATCCACCCCTGCAACATCTTTGGTCTTCTTCTTCTTCTCAATATTGATTTACTGGTCGAGTTACATTATTTGCTGGTCTTTTAGAATTCCCAGATTTCAGAGGATTCACACTTTTCACAACGAAAAACTTCTCCCGTTTCAGGCCTTGCGCGATCCAGCTCCACCAGATATTGGGCGTCAGCGTGCACACTCCTGACGGCCGCACTAGCTGCACTGCGAGCTTCCGTACGTTGTTTGTATCGGTAATACTCATATAGATGGGAGAGAAAGCGCCATCTAAGTTCCATTTCATTGGTTTAAGGTTTGAAAATTGATACTCAATATTGTGTTAAAATAATATCAACAAACATAATGTTTATTTTATAATTCCACGGGGGCGATTTTTAATTTTGCAATCGCCCCCGTGAGCAACCTGACGGGCGATTACGGAGCTCACGGGGGCGAATTGCCCATCGCCCCCGTGTATTTTGAGCGCTGGTATGAACTATGAAGTATATATTCACTAAGAGGGGGACATTGGAGAGACATGACTTCATGGGCTTTTTGTTTTGGTCAAAAGAAGTATTTCTACAGGGTTCCATGAAGGAATTCAAACAAAGAAATATAGAAGGAAAAAACCTGGATGTGGAGAGTAAATACATGATTTATCACATCAATACCTAGCAACAAATTACAGGGTATTTTGCAGATGCGCTTGGTGACCTGGGAAATTTCATATTATTACAGAGGGTCATGCAGGTATTGCACATACATGTAGGGGTCTACTTTGTATTTTTTTAACATGTATTTTTGTTGTGCACTTCAAACTTTTGCAATACATGTATAATGAATTAAATGATATGTTCGATTGGCCAAGCAAATCTGAACATCTTTTCACGAAACAGTCATAAGAACAAGTTTACTGACATCTCATTAAACCATTAAACGTGTGTTTCATTTAATACACATGTTTCAGTGGGTTTTCCGCAGACTCGTACTTATGACGGTAACGTTATCTTGAAACGCTGCCCAGAAGTTTTTTAAATGTTGACAAAGACATCAGGAAAGTTTTAAATTGACTTAGTGACAGAGAGAATATTGGTGCCAACAAGGGCCTTACTATGAAAATGACCTTCCCTGAAATTCACTTTTTTTTCTCTTGGAAATACATGTACACTGTATTAATTGCTTTCAATAAGCATTTGTCATCTCTGTTGTGTATTCTTTATCTACAGGTTTCACTGTTGTACCTTTCAGCTAGTGGTGAACCAGGTAAACCTTTTTCTATCTTATACAAAAAGAAAAACTAAATATTTCCTCCTTCTTCTTATCCATCTTTCATGCAGATTGTTGACATGGGCAGTGTTACAAAAGCAGTCTCTCTTCTGGAGAGCAATCCAATCACCAAAGATGCTCTTGAGGTAAGTTTCTCTGACTCTTCAACAACGGAATGCCACTTGCTGTCAGCCAGCATTGTGAAGTGTCATGCTTCTTAGAATAGTATCAGAAGAAATTTTGTACCCCTTTCCCTTTTCACTTCAGATCATTCTTTAATCTTTGTCACAATGCTGATGGACTGAGTTTCAAGTAGGATGTGATTCTGAAATCCCTTTGAGTGAAAGTTCAGAAGGTCTTTGAAGTATGTACACTGTAGGTAGAATTTTGAGATCCTAGGAATACTTTCAGAATGAGTGAACTGACACTGGTGCCACATATATTGAAATAATTATTAAAAAAATAAAAATAAAAATAAATGTCCATATGCATACGCAATCACAAAGAGCTGTACTTTTTGAACCAATTTTTTATAGGTGGACCCCATTATTTGATAGGAAAAAAGTAAGTGTAATATCGGCTGTTGCAATATGCTGCAAAACATTTCTCTGCTCAGATGCAGTTACTTGAATAGATTTGCTTATGTAAATGGACATTTTATCTGTTGGTTGAATCTGGATTTTGAGCATTTTTTTCTACCGAAGGTGGTGCCCAGGTTTGTCTGATTGTCCATCTCGCTTCTCATTGTTCCTATATATCAATTCATATTTCATATGGTTATTGTTTTTTTTAAATTTTTTAAATTTTCGATATACATTATCTCACTAAACTTTTTTTGTACCTTTTTTTTACCCCATATTTGTCACGATCTTCAGGAAACCAGACTCGGGAGGCTTGTCCAAATTGTGCGTAAGAAGGCTACAACCAGTAACCTCAAGAAGCGATGCACAGCCTTGATAAAACAATGGCAGTCTCAGTTCCTGCCCCCGAGCGCAGTCAAACCTCCAAGGACCGAGTCCCCTGTACCTCATCAAGAGGAGGTCAAAGGTCAGGAAGGTTCATCGACCTCCGATGGACAGAAACCAAAGCCTGCAAAGCAGACAGTAAATGCCACCTCTGTTGATAAGAGTAAAAGTGAAAATCTTCGAAGGAGAAAAAGGCAGCCGGAAAACTCACCATCAATATCTCCTTCATCCCAGGCTCCCCCTTCTAAAAAATTAATATCATCATCTCAAGGGCAATCCCCATTATTACAAGGCGAGGGAAATGGACAAGATGACTCTGGTCTTAATGGGATGTCCTCGAAAAGGGACGTTGACTGTGGTAGAAAACTTATCAAAGATTCAGTAAAAACTGCTTCTCCAAAGTCCAGTGTTCCTTCGCCTAAATCTAAACCCAACATTAACAAAGACAAAGGTTCATTAAAAAAGTTAAAATCAGAAAGATCAGCATCTCCCAAACCTAAGACAAAGGACTCGTCATTAAATTCAGTATCTCCTGCACTGCAGCCCAAAGCAGAGAAACATTTGAAACCCAAAGGATTATCACCTAGTGTTGCCAAGGCAAAGTCTGATAAACGAGTCAAGGTTTCACCAGCACCTCGTGTTGCCATCGGTAAGAAAAGGAGTTCTTCCCATGATCGATCGCCTAGACCCTCCAACGATTCGTCTGCTTCCAATTCACCAGCTGTTGTGGGTGGAACCTCTCTGAAATCCACCGGTACTTTCTCAACGGACTGGGACACTGCCGGTTTCGGCTTTGGGGATAGCGGTGGGGAATCCTCTCGGAGTGCTACACCCCAGAATGTGTGCGACGCCCCTAGTTCTTCAAAGCCTTTCTCTATTTTTGATTTAGATTTCACCGATGCTGTTTCATCTCAAGTGTCAAACACCAGCCTGTTTGACAGGTCAGAGTCACCTGCAAGCTTTCTAGATGAGCGACCATTTACACCAACAATAAGTGCATTTTCTGAAGAATTTTCTCAGAGGACAGAGTATAATCATTCTCCTTCTGCTTCAAAGGAAGAGGAGGATGAAGCGGAGGAGGGGGAGGAGGAGGAGGAGGAGGAGGAGACATCAGTAAATGTGATGGAGACCCTTGAAGATGAACCTGTGACTCCTCCATGCCCGGTGCTGGAGGGGGATATAGATCGCATTCACGATGACGAGTGGGAGGGGGTGAATGGTTGCTACAATGATAAAGGCGAATGGTTTGACTGGATGCAGTGCCTGACTGTAAATACAGATGTGGAAAATTCTATACAAATTCTACCCTATGTATGTATTGATTAGGAAAATATGAACATGCTCACTGTAAGTTATTTTTTATGTGAATGCTTGAATTGAAAGAGTGAACCATCATAACATGTATTTTTCTCTTGTTGTTTTCCTATTTTTTACAGATACTTTCTCGGTGCAAATATGATGTAGTAAAAGTAAATTTATTTCATAAGTTTATATTGGACGGAAGAGACGGGCATGAATTTTCATGTACATGTATGCATTGGAACTGTTTAAAATTTAACGCTGAGCAAGTTCCTTTAATTTGACGTAAAAATTACCATGAATTTTTTTCTGTTACCTAATATTGAAAATTGTGGTCAGGCAGAATATTAGAAATCTTCGTAGATAGTAGAAGTCGAGTACATCATATTGCTAAAGAGGTAACATCTGTAAAACAGGGTTAGAACTAAGAAGACTTTCTACGAGCCATTATTTGAGCAGAAATAATTAACTATTGCATTGTAATCAATGTCTAAAAATGGGGTATTTTTGTTTTGGGTCTAATTTCTTTAAAAGCTCTGCTCATGCATGGGTAATGCATGCATAATTACAATTGTTAAAGCCCTTAACATCAGGGTGGACTTCCCTTTTAACGCTTTAATAGGCTATTAAAGCCTTAAAAGGGAAGTCCACCCTGATATTAAATTGGTTTTAATAGTCCAAGTAAAACAATGAGAGGAGCAGGTCAGTGAAATTTGAGCAAAATCAGGTTAAAAATAAGAAAGTTGTGATTTTTGTAAGTTGTCATCAGTGAAACACACATTAGAAACTAGGAAGACTGGCGTATCTTGCGAGGTCCTCTCCAATTTGCTCAGTACAGAAATTTCATAAATTTTCAATTTTAGCTCACCTGAGCCAAATGAGCTATTGCAATCTTTTTTGTTTGTTGTCCGGTTACCCTAAACTTTTAACATTTTCAATTTCTCAAAAAATGCTTAACCAGATTTTAACTAAAGGGGGCTTGGGGCAGCCTTCAATATCCACCATCCAAACAGTGATACGAGCACAGGAAACTTACAAACGATGAAATATTTAGAATTTTCTTATTTTTAATAAGATTTTGCTACAACTTTCATTGACCCGTTCTGTTCCTATCATTTTGTAATGCTTAGTATCAAACCAACTTAGTACCAGGATGGACTTGCCCGTTAAAGGAGATGCTATTATCTCCTATTTCAAAGAATCATTTTGGCATTTGTTATGTACATGTGTAGGTGATATGCATTTAGCTCAAAAGTATGTTAATGACGGTCTTGCCTTTAGCGGTTCGAAAACAAACACACGGCAAAATAGTCTGTAGAAAGTGCTACAGTGTTACTTTGGGCATGACATTGAAAAGGTTGCATGAGTACAATTTTTTGTTGTTGTTACGATTCCAAGCTCTGGTTTATAATCGCTTTCTAATCATATTTAATGTGCCATTGGTTTGTAAGCTCTGCCTTACGCTTCATGTAAGTTGGGTTTCACAAAAGGAGTTAAAGTTATGTACAATGTATACAGTGTACACCTGTACACTCTTAAATCAGATTAAACAAAACAAATTATACACATGTAAGCATTCTCTTGTTAAACATGACTTCCATGTAGCTTAGAAACACTGTGGGGTTTAACTTTGGTTTCGATCAGTGTTTTGTTTTTATGTCTCTGCTGGGAATTATGTCATTGGAACAGAAAGACCACTGCAACTTTCTTAACATTGAATCACTTAGAAAACAGAAATTAAAAAAAATGAAATATAAAGATTCATCCAATAATATGTGCCAAAGTTTACTTTTCATAGTTTTGATGAGTTCTTAAGTAGAAAGAATATGTAAGAGGATAATTGTGGGTCTTTATTCTCATTGTTCATATGCAGGTCTACTTATATTTTATCAACCAAATAAACAGATTGTTATGATAGAATAATACATTTATTTTATATATTTAGATGTCGGCTCAAAAGTTTATGTTCTAAAATGTCAATTTGTAGAACCAGATTTAAAACCTCTCTAGTATACATGTAGGTCATATACTGTATGTGTCCATTATCAGCTACCATATGTAAAAATGTAAACTGAGACAAATGCAATATATTATTATGATGGTGATCAAATGTGGAACATGTTTAAGTAGGAGAGACAGTTTGTTTCAATTTAAGGAAAATTGTGGTAAATATTGCGTACTTAAGAATTTTCATGAGAATAGGAATGGTGGAATGAAGTCAAACAACAGATGTTAGAATGCTGATATATATATATATATAGTAAGGCTTGTACATGATAGTAGAGAGATATATATTATCTTGGATGTCTTATGAAAGCCAATATGACTGCTAACAATGATGCAAAATATGAATTTTCTTTTCTTGATTTAGAATTGACTAAACACATGATTAATGTAGAAATATTTTTTTTTGATCATGTAAGATCTGATAACACATCCCTCATCCGTTCCGACTTGTTCTCATTATTTATTTTTGTAAGGATACTGTACTTGACTTTGAAAAGTATTTTGTTAGTTTGTTAAACAAAAGAGGTATTTTTGTACTTTTGTGTGTGCATACTTTAAATTGTGTATTAGGTTAACAAGAGCCAAGAGCTAATATGTGCAGGTACCACAAGGTGTTAGAAGGAAAAATCAAACCATTGATCTTTTGAAAGTGGCAAGTTGCCGCAAGTACAATCATATGGAGATCAAAATAACTTTGTGTGAAGTAATACCTTTCTGTGATACATCTTTCCCTCGCCAATAACATTTGCAATAAAATGGGTGCAGTAATATATCACAAATTCTGTGAGTTTATATACGCAAAAATCTAAGATGTCACGACTTGTATCCCCCTTTTTTGTTATTGGGGTGGGGTGGTGGGCTAGTTAAAAGATATTCTGAAACAATATTTACAAATAAATTTTATAAATTCTATTGTTCTGAAGTGATTTACTAGGCATGAGAAATTCACTAGTATCCAAAATACATAAGCATACCCCCCCCCCCTCCCCACACCCTTGCTGTGTATACATACAGCTAATATGAAGTCTGGGGGGTGTTTCACAAAGACCCTAAGTAGAACTTAACACTAAGTTGGACTTAAAAGTTATGGAAAGCCATTAGCATCCTTGAAAATATTTTGTAAAAGTTATTTTAAAAGACATAAAATGTTGATTCAAATCATTCATATTTTCTATCATCTAGGAGATTTCATGTTCTGGATGTTGAATTCATAAAAAGTCTAAAATACTTGAATTTCTGCTTTTGAATATATTTCATTTTAAGACTCCAATGGCTGTCCATAACTTTTAAGTCCAACTTAGAGTTAAGTTCTACTTAGGATCTTTGTGAAACACCCCCCTGAACTAGCAAGTTGTGATTAAAGGGGAAATGTAAGAAAGGCTTCACGATTGCTGTGTTTGTTGGAGAAAAACAGGTTTATTTCCACATGTTGAGTTGATGCCAAATATCTTCAATAATTAAATTCCTAATATAAAATACATTCCTGTCGATGTGATAATGCAGTAGACATTTAGTGGAATAGGAAATTAGATATAATGCTAGAAATAAGAATGATTTGAAATGTCTAATGATGATATTAATCAAATGAAACATTTTTGTACTTTTGTATATTTATTGGTTTGCAATATAGGTCTCAACGTCCCTCTTTAGTTATAGGATGCCAAGGGAAAGAGGAAACCTTCAAAAAAACATAAATAAAAACACCTGACAAATATAATAAGTGCATTAATTTTGTGAAATTAGTACAATTTAAAGTTTCAACAAATTATGTATTCAGTTCGTGTAAGCATTAAACTGTCTAAACTCTAAAGTCTAAACAAGGTTTTGAAGGAAAAAACCAACAAATTTGTTTAAAGATAAATGAGAATAAAAAGTTGATTTTAATTCCTTTAAGGACAACATACATTTTGAAATAGAAAATACAGTATATTTACTGGTCTTATTGAATACTATATCTCTCAGAGGCTAATGTATTATTGCAAGGGACACACATGGTAGTACATATACATGTAAAATTTAAATGGGTGAAATTATTTTGGTGACTTTGGTCAAAATGACTAAGGTCTTTTTTTTTGGGGGGGGGGGGGGGCCGCTTTTTCTCCCCTATCATCATATGTGGAATATTATACAAGTATAATACCTAACATCATATATATTCCAGTAAATGATTTTTCGTAAAAATTTCATATCCCCTGTGATAATATAATTAAGGTCGGTATCTATTCAGTCTTGCAACATTGTTGTCTTTAAACAAACAATAATTGATGATGAAAAAGTAATATCTGAAAGTTTGGAAATATCTGTATCTTTAATGAAATGCACTTATTTGTTTTCCCTTCGAAAATGAGCAATATATGTTACTTTGTTTGTGCCTTCTTTAGATTAATTTTCCTCATGAGAAAAGAGGAATGCCACATATGTAACTAGTTTTAATTACATGTATTTTTTTCATAGAATGAAATGTGTTCATTCAACATTTCTTCATTATTTGCATGTTATGATTATCATTTTTCAATTTTTCAATTTTAGTGAAAAAAGGAGCAACAAACCTGAATGTTGCATGTGTAATGAATGTGTGAAATGGATTCATGTGAATGGTACCCTTATGACAAACTATGGCTCTAAAGAGCATTATTTCTGATCATTTTGATTTTGGATCTTCATTTTGAGAAAAAAATTAAAAGAGTAAAAAATTCAACAAAAACAATGCCTGCTGTTTCAGACTCTTGTGCTAAATTTTTTTGTTTTTTCTTTTACTTCAGTTAAATCTTTTCCATATTTCAAGCCCCCCCCCCCCCCCTACTCACTCAGCTGTGTATATACCGGTAGTGGAATTAGATGAAAATGTTGGAAGTAAATACAAGGGGCCTCTTGATTAAATAATGTTAGTGGTGGAATTAGGGTAGGGGGTGGGGGCTGCCCTTTAACTCCATACAGGAGGGGTGGTGACACAGTAGTAAGTCAGTGGTCTTGTAATATGAAGGTCCATGATTTTGAAATGCCACGGATGGGTTAAAGTGCTAGTACCCTTTGGTGAGACTTAAGGTAATTTTATCATTCCATGGACATTCTCGCTCACCTCCCTGCAAAAATTAGAAGTTGGGGGGGGGGGGCTGGTGGTGGTGGAGCTTGTGATTATTTTAACCTGCAGATCTTTTACTACCTACACCGCCCACACCCCCCCCCCCCCCCCCCCCCTCCCCAATGAAATTATAAGTTATGAAAGTAAACATGAGTTTGAGAGATAAAGACAGTGAAAGAAACGGACAGAGACTGATTTGCATGTGTTGTTCATGTACTGGCTAGGCTAGAACTATGCATGTTGTATACATGCATGGCGTCACATGGGCAACAGATGGCAGTATTGAACCTGACGTCACGTTAATGGCGGAGAGCGTGTGTTTCTGAGCTGAGAATCCCCTTGTCGAGACAAACTTTTTTCTCTCATAATTAGAGTATAAATCACATATTTACCCTGTTTTAATATCAGGGAGGCCACCACCATGCTAATAGTACTGAAAACGTTACAACAGCAGACTTTCCGTGTGGAAATAGAGGACAGTGCAACGGTAAGTTAGTCTCGATCATTCCATTGACATGTCCATTGTCATCGGGCTGTGTCATCTCCCGAATTATTTTGTTTCTATTTCACTAGCTACTAGGCCTAGACCCTAGTCTAGTCCTAAACCACATGCTCAATGACTGTATGAATATTAAAAAATTGGAGTGAATTTCACATAGTGTAATTGATATGTTAACCGTTATTGTTGAAATGAAGGACATGATATTATTCCTTTTCATTATGACTGAGACTTTGTTCTGAGTGATACATGTAGGCCCCTATTCATTGATAATTATTTTTGTTCAACAATGGCAATGCAAATGCAATGGTATTGATTAGAAAAAGGCTAACTAAAGAAAATTAAAAGAGTTAGAATTGGGCTTAGCCAGGTGGTCACAACTCTCATTTCAATGATAATAAATAAGGTTTAGGCCTAGATCTAGGCTACTTTGAGTTTGAATCAGACATCAGGTCATCCCGTATTCCCGTTGGGTTGGGTGGTCGCATTACCTGACCTGGCTTCTGTGAGACTGTGATATGGCCCTTTATTTTTATTCACAAAATGTAGGGCCACCGGCTCGGCCAGGGGTAATGTTTGTGAAATAGTTGTGATCTATACAACAAACGGTCTAGTCCAATTTACAGTAGGGGCGCTGGTCCGAGAATAAAGATCGTCCCCATGAAAGGATATCTTCGTAAACGAGAACATCGCTTCCTAAAAAATAAGGATTGTACTAATTTTTGCAGACGTCTTTTTTCTTTGGTGCTCTACAGTTGTACTTGTAGGGTTACCAATCTGCAGCTTGGCAATGCGAAAAAACAAGATTTCTCTTAAAATACCCCTAGGTCTAGTTCACCGTCTACTTTCACGAGTTGTCCATCTTCAAGAGTATTTATTGTTCATAATGTGAAAGTCTCTGTTTATACTATAGTGCATCATGGAGCATCATCAAGGAAGCTGTTTTTCGCATTGCCAAGGCGGGGATTGGTAACCCTAGAAAAGCTATAGACGTCTGCGCAAATGTGGACGATTCTTTTTTTTTAGGACGCGATTTGTCAGCGTTTACGAAGATATCCTCATTTATACGGACGATCCTTATTCTCAGACCAGCGCCCCTACTGATTTACCACTGTCTGTAATACCAGACACTTTGTGAAAGCCCTACAGCAAATCTATGAAAGGTTGCGTGATCTTCCAATTTCGTTTCACAAAAGGTCATGTAACTAATCAATCACCTGACCGGACCCAATGACCCGATGATTCGAGGTAGTCCACAAATAATGGAGAACCAGAGCCTCCGAGTGCGACGGCGAGGCTATGCATAATGCAGCTATATTGAAGAGTTTGAATTAAAACTTAATTATATTTATTTTCTTGTCTTGTCTTTCCCTTGACACCCACAATAAAAGGAGGTGATTTTTAATATGGCACGTTGAGGTATGCTGTAGTGTAGACAGAAATAACCGCATGGTATGGCCACTAGTCTATGAATTCTTTAGTAAATCTAATTTGTTCGTCCTTCCTCATACACAGACAGTAACCCATGCCGCACACACAAGGGGGGGGGGGAGGGATTAGCTAGCTTATTTTTTCGACGGAACCTGGCGAAAAGTGTGCCCTTGGGTTTTTCTCTATCAAGACTTAAAAACAGTTTGATGAAGAGAAACTGATGATTGTCTTGACTCCTTGGGAAGGAAATATATCTAAATTTTTTTACCCAGAGGCCAATCGTTGTCCGGACGGGTCGTGTATCCGGACAATTGATTTCAAACATTTATTTGAAGAAGTTTACAATGAATATTTCAGAAATCTTCTAAGGCTTATGTTTGGAAACATTATAAAGGAAAAATATTCATGATGATTAGTGCTACATATTTGATGAATATATTTCGTTAAATCCAAAGGTAAAAGAGAAGGTTTTATGTTTGTTTAGTGTCCGGGCACCCAACCCCCATCATAGTCATACTACAAAAATAAATAAATAAATATTGTTAAACATCACAATATATTACAGAGACTTACTTTCTGTCCGTTTTCTTGAAGCTACTGCACTCAAATAGACCGACAAGCACACACACAAACTACATTGCGTAATCTCCCCTCGCTAACCCGTACATGTACTTTAATCTCTGTATAGAGGCGGTCAGTGGAGCCAGTCAGTGTAACAAGCGTCATTATCTGAGACGGATGCTTTCGTTCTAGTTGATGTGTAGACCTACCGGTAGGCTATTTACATGTCCTGCATTGCCCTTTCATAACATACTTTTTGTATGATGGGGCCCATATTTCTGCCCACCTAAAATGTCACTTGAAATTGACAAGAATCTTTCATGGTATTCCCCCAATGCCTGATCTCATCTTAATCCTTATATTCTAGAAAGGAAGTATGCTGAAAATCTTATGTTCTTCTTGGTAGTAGGGTCCCAAATGCAGGGGGTGTACTCAAGTACCGGTATTACATATGCTTCATATGCTCTCTCCTTGATGGTTCTGGAGCTAACTTTCAGGTTTTTTTGAAGAAAGCCAAAGGTCTTGCTGCCTTTGCTGCAAATGTTGTTGATATATGTAAGGCGTTGGATACCTTGTTTGCGGTGACTGAATCATCAGAAAAACAGCGTGCCTGTTAACTGCTTAATAGCAAATCATTGATATATGCCAGGAACAGGCATGGCCCCAGAACAGAACCCTGTGGGACACCTGATCTCACATGGATGAAGGATGACCTCTTACCATTCACTATAACTACATGTACCTTGGCCCAAATTCACAAAGGAGGTTTGTCGACAAACCTCCTTTTGTTTCGACAAACCTCCTTTTGTTAATTACAAACCAGGTTTGTTAAAAACGTGTCAAAACGCGTCATATGACATACATAAACCTCGGTTTGTCGACAAACCTCCTTTGTGAATTCGGGCCATTGTGTCTGTCATAGAGGAAGCTGGAGATGCACAAAATGGTGGCACCATGGAAGCCATAGCATTGGAGCTTGTGAAGCAGTAAGCTATGGTCCACCTGGGGGGCGTTTCACAAAACTTGTCATCAGTGACAAATGACAGTTTTTGTTATAAGCTACTGAAATCCTTGCTTCTGATTGGTTATCAGCAGATTTGTCACTGATTTTTGTCATTTGTCATTGAAAAAAGGCTTTGTGAAACGGGCAAAGTCCATTATCAGGATATCTGTCTGTTTCCCAGTCTCGAGGCGATGAGTTAGTTACTCCTTGAGCTCCAGCAGTTGAGTGTCACAGGAACCATGGAACTCATGTTGGTTCTCTTCTAACACATCATGTGAACCAAAGTGGTCCATGACTTTGGTGACTATTACATGTATGTGTTCCATGATCTTGCAGGATACACATGTAAGAGAAACTGGTCCACAGTTACCAGGGTGATAATGTTCTCCTTTTTAGAAGATCAGTGTCACATGAACATCTCTCCGGTCTGTACTATGCCTCTTGCAAGGGATGACTGGAAGATAGTGGTCAGGGCAGGGGCCAGCTGTTTTGAAAGTTCTTTCAGCAACCTTGAACTTCAACCATCTAGACCACATGCATTATAGGGGCTGAGGTTCACCATTAGTTTCTTCGCACACTGTACAGATATCACAATATTGTCCATGGTGGGGGTACACGATTCTTTCATTGACGTCTTCCGCAGTGTAATTCTTGCAATCTCCAAAAACTGACTTGAACCGATGGTTAAAAAAAATCCTCTGTCTGTTCTTTGGGGTGAGAGGTTAGGTGAACATATTTCTACAGCAGTGCAACCTCCAAATTGGTTGACCTCTTGTTTTTATGCCTATGTTACGAAGTAGCCGGGGGCATTATGTTTTCGGGTTGTCTGTCCGTACGTCCCGTTCTCGGAATCGCGTTATCTCAAGAACCAATGGATGGATTCCTGCCAAACTTGATTCATGTATGTATTTTGCAGAGCTAATGAACTGATTAGATTTGGGGGTCACAAGGTCAAAGGTCACAAGGCTCATTATGTATTCAAAATAGCTTGTGATCGAGTTATCTCAAAAACTGATTGATGGATTCCTGCCAAACTTAGGTCGTGTATGTATCTTGCAGAGCCAATGAACTGATTAGATTTGGGGGTCACAAGGTCATAATTCAAAGGTAATCGGGCTCATTATTATGCAAAAATAACTTGTGATCGCATTATCATTTGAACCGATGAATGGATTACCATCAAACTCGAGACATACGTGTATCATGCAGAGCTATTGAACTGATTAGATTTTGGGTTTATAAGGTCATGGGGCTCAGTACAGTATATGCAAAATAGCTTGTGAACACATTCTCATTAGAACTGACAAATGGATTACTATCAAACTAGGACATACATCTTGCAGAGCCAATGAAATAGCTCATGAGGTCAAAGATCAAAGAGTCATACATGTATATGAAAAATAGCTTGTAACCACAATGTTCTGAGAACCTGTTGATGGATTACAATCAAACTTGAATTTGAAAAATTGCTTCTGTTTTGGTTTGCAAAATCGCCCTATGGCGGAGGCATCATTTTCGACTGTCGAAGTTCCATCTAGTCTATGTATGTCGACTCTTTGTCGAGAACTGCTTTTTCTTTCCAGATTATTCTGAGAAGTTATCATACAATGCAAAGTTGATTATCAAGTTAATGTATTTAAATTTATGGATGCTTCCTTCCCAGGTGTGTGTCATGAAAAAGGATATATCATTCACCTGTTTTTGTCCTTTGTACTACAAATGTCAGAACGCAAATTGCATAAATAAGTTGGTGCTCTTCAGGGGGTGAAGGTTTCAATTTAAACAAAATAGATTTGTCAACTACTCTATTTGATTATTTTTAATCAACAAGTTACAATTATTCCCCTTTTATATTTTTCATCACTTGTAATGTTTTACATTCTCGGCTATGATTTTCCCTCATTGGAAAGTAAAAATTTTGTTATTGACTTAAAAAGGTCTTTCCAACTAAAGCTTGGTGCATGATACATATGTACAAGTTTGCCTGGTACATCACATTATCAAGAAAATGGCTGTAGCTCTCAATTTGTTCTCTACTGAAATGGTGAAAATAGAACTTTCCTTGTTTTTTTTGAAAGATATGCTTTATTTCAACTATTTTTTTAATTTTTTTTAATTTTTAATTTTTTTTTTTTTTTTTTTTTTTGGGGGGGGGGGGGGGGGGGGGGAGGAGGCAAGTTTGGGGCAAGTAAAAATGAATGTGATAGATACTGTACATGTATGTACACTGTACATGCAAGGTCAAGTTTAGAGAGAATAATGAATGCATGTGTAATGTATTGTACAAAACAAGTGGATAACCCCTTACAAGGGGAAAACCTGAAATTTGTGTACCGGTATGCTCATTCTGGGACCACTTTAAATAATCATTAACATCTTTCAGATTTTCCTTAGAATTTAAGTTTGCCACTTCATCTGCTGCTTTTCCAACTTGTTGCCACAATGTATTTTCCCTAAAGTTCTATGTCTGCTAAATTAGCACCATTATTAGTAGTATTACGCGGAATATGGGCTTTACAAATTATAAACTATTTATTTATCCTTTATTAAAGTTTCTCATCCCGGCCCTTGCAGCACAAAAAAACTAAACCTTGCTGGGTTGGCAAGGGTCCCCCCAAGAAATAGAAACCTCTTGTAAATACTAGTATTGAATATAAAGAGCGTTTACCTTTTTGGCCCAGGGTAAAGTCTTATCATTTCCATTTTTTTAATGTACAGGACAGTTTAATTGAATCAATCAATTTTGTGTTTGTTAATGCATGTGTGCCTGAGTCTGATACTACCAGCGGTATAATAGTTTCACATATTGCTCTTGTCACTTTGGCAACCTTGAGCTGGCTTTAAAGAGCGATTAAAAACCTCAGATATGACCAATGCAAGGCCAGAGCAAGAACGAGTTGGCGCAAGGTTGCTTGCAAAATCTGCTGAGTCTTACTCATGCAGCCTGAAAGGAGGGAACGCAATGAGTTGGCGTCTTCCCTTCCCCCTCAACTCTTGTTTCAATCATGTGAGTTTGTCGAATGTCACTGCTACACTCATGTTCAAAATAATAAAAGGGTCGGAATTATCTTTCGATTACTCTTCGTTTTAAATTTCCACTGTAGTTGTAACATCCACAACTGCACACAGTCGCACTTCTGTAAAAGGAGTATGTGTCACATGTGTGCACCGTAGTGACATTGTAACAGCTCTGTTTCTTTGTGAGTTTGAAAGGTTAAACGCATGACATACCGGTACCTTTTCTAAGTGTCAATTTCCATGTATAGCTTGATTCATTACCAGTACATCCAAAATTTTGATTGCTATCTCCGTTATAACTAACAAACGTGTTCATATCTCTCCTCATTTGTTTTGTTTTGTTTTGACTACAGGTTAGGAATCTCAAAGATGAAATTGAAAAGACACAAGGGAAAGACTTCCCTGCCTCTGGGCAAAAGTTAATTTATGCAGGTAAGAAAATCTTAGAACTTTGTATTTCATTTTAGATTTAGTTGCCATTTACGAAAACTTGCTTTGATAGAATTGTGTTAAAGCAAGGAGCTTAGACATAGGGCGAATCAACAATTTCTTTACAAGCGAACTATTACACAACAAGCAAGATAATGATCAAGATCAGAGTGCCGCTTGATATATTTTGCAGCTGTTTTGCTCCAGGAGATAGCTGACTCACTCTTTGAAGACGTAGGTTTCAAGCGTCGCTAAACCTTGGTAGAGAACAATTTTTTTTCTTCAAACATACTCTCAACCCCGGTATGGATGCTCAAGATTATTTACACAGCCCCAAAAACATTGTTTTTTTTTTTACTACTGGGAAAAAACAGTTGTTTGCTCGTTCCGTTTTTGTTAAAAGTTAGTGGTGAGCATGTGCAACTTGTCGCTGCTTTGCGTGCGATCGCACAAATGTTTTGAGAATGAGCATTTACTCTGCAAAAATCTGTGAAATTTCTGCCGGCATTTAAAAAAAAACACTCAGGGGTGGGTTATTTGTCTTGTTTACTGTTAGTTGCCAAGCAACTTCTGACAAAACAATAGAATATGAGAAAAATCAACCTGTTCTTTCTGACTAATCACATGGTAAATTCTTCATCACACTTTGGCGTCAAACTAATATAACTTATACCTCAATCCCACCCCCAAACCGATTCCAAACTGACTGATTGTTGGTCATTCAGGGTAATGTTATCTCTTGTTTGGTCTGTTGTCAGTCTAATAAAGGAGGTGCAATAGCTCAGTTGGTAGAGCAGTGGCCTTGTAATCCGGCGACCCGGGTTACCCCCTGTCCACACACAACATTTTCCGTGACTAATCATGATTAGCTATACCGTTTCGCGATAGTGATACCGTTTCGCGATAGTTTTACAACCAAAATTGTAGGTGTGGACGCTCACTAACGATACGTCGTATAACGAAACTAGTCTAACGAAACGCAGGTTTGGGCATCGTTTCGAACTGAAACTCGATAAAGAATCACGCCTAATCACGGAAAATGTTGTGTGTGGACAGGGGGAGTGTAACTAGTGTAACTAACTGGGCGGGGCTTAACGTGACCTCGAGCGAAATGAGACCAGACCTCTTATCACTATCGCGAAACTCTATAAAGAATCACGGAAAATGTTGTGTGTGGACAGGGGGCATTTTATACGATGATTCTTTAGTGACGACGTTTCCTGTGTGTGGACATCCTGGAATTTATACGATGATTCTTTATACGACGTATCGTTATAGAGTTTTGGGATAAATTGTTTTGTGTGTGGACACGCTGTTAGACACCAAGGCGATGCGCTAGTGCCCTTTGGTAAGGCATTAATCCTCATTACCAGGTCTTTCAGAGAGGACCTAAAGCCATCGGTCCTCTGGTTGCTTACTAACAAGCATTTATGCTTTCTTAGCAGTCAGGTAAAATAACCACCACCACCATCACATGTTGGTTTTGTTGGTGTAACTTTGGTACTATGTAACAAGTGCAGGTTTTTACCTTTGGCGTAATTTTTTACCACCCACAAAAGTTGCCCTTAACCTTTGCTTGTACAATAATATTTTCTCTGTATTACACTTATAGCATGAATATCATCATAGGTCATCTCAGTGATGACTGAGTACACAATGCTAATTCATATTAATGAAATGTATTTCACATATTAATGGGACCTCTTATGTATTACATTTTACATTTGTGATGGTCAGAATTTGTTGAACAAACCATCTCTTTTAATGTTATCTTATCTATTTCTATTTATCCAGGTAAAATCTTAAGTGATGACAACCCTTTATCGTCTTACAATATAGATGAAAAAAGCTTTGTTGTAGTCATGGTTACAAAGGTGAGTCCAAACTTTTCGTTTCATTGCTTGGGGAGGAGGTGGTCCTAGGGGGCTACCAAATCCAATGGCTTACTTGCATTTTAATTTTACTACATTTTGGTATGATACAATTTTAGCTTTTTTATTATTATTATTATGATTTAATGTTATTTGAATTGGGTTTTGATGAAATTTATGTTCCTACTAAGTATTAACCTTAACTGTTTTTTATATACCAATAATACCGGTAGTGCCTTACAAGTGATAACATAACAGACAAAGAGTTATTACAGTACTATTACCCTGGTCGCTGGATTCAATTACAGTTCAGTATATGAATGATGTCTAGTTAGCATCTAAATGATCCATATCCCTTATAAATTTGATGTATTTTGTGTTTTTTTGTAACTCAAGAATAAACGGTGGACTGGTTGAAATAGGGCCTTGTTGAATACTTCTAGATGTAAGCTTTAATGTGTCACATTCTCAAGAAACTAACAACAGGACAAACCAATTTTTCACATACAGGTACTTGAAAGATTACTAAACTTGGTAAGGGGTATGAATAATTTATACTTGTACAGAGGCTGCAAACAGAAGAAAAAAAAGAAGAGAAGAAGGAGGAGGCCAAACCACAGGAGACTGCTGCAGCAGCCAGTGCATCAGCCAGTAGTGCCCCTGTGGCTATGGAAGAGGGCACAACCAAAGCAGCTGAGGAGAAGAAAACAGAAGAGAAGGCAGCAGAACCGGCAGCTGAAACAAAAACACAAGAGGAGAGTTCAAGTGGACTGTAAGTTTGCCATGCCTAAACTGATGACATCTTCATAGAATTATCTTCTTGGGGGCGTTTCACAAAACTTGTCATCAGTGACAAATGAGAGTTTCTGTTATAAGCTACTGAAATCCTTGCCTCTGATTGGTTATCAGCAGATTTGTCACTGATTTTTTTTGTCATATGTCATTGAAAAAAGGCTTTGTGAAACACCCCCCTGTTCTGTGAAATGTAATATAAGTTGTTTGTGGGCTAATATAAAAACAGTTTACTCAGATAAAGTAATTTAGGAAACTATGATAATTGGTTAATCCATTCCAGAGGACTTGACCTCAATACCTCACACTTTTTTGTCCTCAGGTAGTTTTAAAGGTACTATGTCCCTTTTGCAGCCAACCTCAAATGCTGTAGAACTTTGCAGGACTTATGAATATGTCATGTATGTCCTATCTGTGAAATTTAAACGTTAGCAGTGTCCTCATATTCAAATTATGCAAGGAAACCCGTTTACTTGCTAGACTTCACTGTCAGACACTATTGAGTGACTGACTGGCTTTTTTCTTCTTTGGTAATAACATACATGAAAGAGTTGTAAAGGGTACATGAGCATTTGTCTACATCAATAACCCACTTCTTGTGATGGCCAAGATTAAACTGATTGAATCTTTGCGCAGCATAAAACGTATGACCATTCGGTACAATTGTCTGAAAATCAAGACTATTACTTTTGGGCTCTATAGCCCTAAAGTCGATTTGACAACTAATAGTCGTTATTTTCCCACTTGAAGACCTTTTCAAGCCCCACATTTTTTAGGGAAGTTCTAGATTAGTATTATCTTTCAAATGCAGTTGGAATTTAACTTTTTCATTTTTTTGGCTTGCAAATGGGACATAGTACCTTTAAAGAATGTAATATGTTGTAGTGGGTCTTGGGTCTTGGCTCATCAGTGTGGCTAGGATATTATAAGAACTACCCCACTAATTGGGTGTTGCAAGAAAGTTGCAATCAATTGCAAATCCCCAAAATTAAGCGTAGGTCTTGCGATTATTTGCAAATTTGCAATTGAACGCAACTCCCCATGCAACGCCCCATTAGTAAGAGAAAGAGATAGAGAAAGGGGGAGAATAAAAGCTAGATCTAGTTTATACTATATTTAAAGATAAACTTTAGTACTGGTAATGCGATTGCATTGTGAAAGAAAAGGTGTAGAAAGGATCAGAAACAGTTGATCATGTAGCATGTAAGTATTGGTGTGCACTGCAAGGTTCTGGAGTCATCAAAATCATAATAAATTTGACCGAGTCTTGGTAAAGTAACAAGCACTCACATAGAAAGCTATATATGGGACAACACACATGGTGTCGGGGCTAGTACTACCTTGATTTCCTTGTCTTTCTATGCTCATTACTCAGCCAGTATACATTTTCTTCCAAAATTGTTTGGCACATGTCATTTATTTGTAATCTTGAACATTCAGTGTAAGTTTCGTTTGATTCTGTGAGAATTTTTTTTTTTTTTTACCAGTACTGGAGTTTATCTTTAATTGTTAAAAACTTTAATCCTAACAAAACCCTAGGAAATTTAGGAGACTAGTGGGGCATTGCAAGAAAGTTGAGTTGCAATCGATTGCAAATATCAGTAATTTGTCGCAACTTGCAATCAATCGCAACTTTCTTGCAATGCCCCATTAGTGTTACTGCTAACCCCCTACTTTATCGCCTCTCTGTGAAAACCTTCAAGGAATACCTTTCTCTCTTTTGTGACAGTCAAGCCTTCCACAGCGCAGAATCCACCCTGGTGACGGGCGAGGAGTACCAGAACATGGTCACCGAGTTGATGAGTTTGGGCTTTCCGAGGGACAAGGTCATCAGGGCGATGCAAGCAAGCTACAACAACCCCAACCGAGCTGCAGAGTACCTTGTAGTGGTAGGTGCAGGCCTGATAATTACCTGATTTAAATCAGTTTCCCAATTATTTTTATGCCTCCGTTACGAAGTAGCCGGAGGCATTATGTTTTCGGGTTGTCCGTCCGTCCGTACGTCCGTCCGTACGTCCGTACGTACGTACGTACGTACGTCTGTACGTACGTACGTCCCGTTCTCGTGATCGCGTTATCTGAAGAACTGGTTGATGGATTCCTGCCAAACTTTGGTCATGTATGTATCTTGTAGAGCCGATGAACTGATTAGATTTTGGGGTTACGAGGTCAAAGGTCAAAGGTCACAGGGCTCATTATGTATGCAAAACGAGCTCGTGATCGCGTTATCTGAAGAACTGGTTGATGGATTCCTGCCAAACTTTGGTCATGTATGTATCTTGTAGAGCCGATGAACTGATTAGATTTTGGGGTCACGAGGTCAAAGGTCAAAGGTCACAGGGCTCATTATGTATGCAAAACGAGCTCGTGATCGCATTATCTGAAGAACCGATTGATGGATTGCTGCCAAACTTAGGTCATGTATGTTACTTGCAAAGCCAAAAAACTGATTAGATTTTGAGGTCACGAGGTCAAAGGTCAAAGGCCACAGGGCTCATTATGTATGCAAAACGAGCTTGTGATCGCGTTATCTGAAGAACCGATTGATGGATTGCTGCCAAACTTAGGTCATGTATGTTACTTGCAGAGCCGATGAACTGATTAGATGTAGGGGTCACAAGGTCAAAGTTCAAAGATCACAGGGCACATAATGTATGCAAAAACAGCTCGTGATCGCGTTATCTCAAGAACCGATTGATGGATTCCTGCCAACTTAGGTCATGTATGTTTCTTGCAGAGCCAATGAACTGAGTAGATTCTTGGTTCATAAGGTCAAAGGTCATGGGCTCATTATGTATGCAAAAATAGCTTGTAATCACAATATTCTGAAAACCTGTTAATGGATTACAATTGAACTTGAATTTGAAAAATTTCTTCTGTTTTGGTTTGTAAAATTGCTCTATGACGGAGGCATCATTTTCGACTGCGCGCAGTCGAAGTTCCATCTAGTTTATTCCCGATTTTACCCTTATTATGCCTCCGTTACGAAGTATCCGGAGGCATTATGTTTTCCGGTTGTCCGTCCGTACGTCCCGTTCTCGTGATCGCGTTATCTGAAGAACCGATTGATGGATTCCTGCCAAACTTTGGTCATGTATGTATCTTGCAGAGCCGATGAACTGATTAGATTTTGAGGTCACAAGGTCAAAGGTCAAATGTCACAGGGCTCATTATGTATCCAAAAACAGCTCGTGATCGCGTTATCTGAAGAACCGATTGATAGATTCCTGCCAAACTTTGGTCATGTATGTATCTTGCAGAGCCGATGAACTGATTAGATTTTGGGGTCACAAGGTCAAAGGTCAAATGTCAAAGGTCACAGGGCTCATTATGTATCCAAAAACAGCTCGTGATCGCGTTATCTGAAGAACCGATTGATAGATTCCTGCCAAACTTTGGTCATGTATGTATCTTGCAGAGCCGATGAACTGATTAGATTTTGGGGTCACGAGGTCAAAGGTCACAGGGCTCATTATGTATGCAAAAACAGCTTGTGATCGCGTTATCTCAAGAACAGATTGATGGATTCCTGCCAAACTTAGGTCATGTATGTTATTTGCAGAGCCGATAAATTGATTAGATTTTGGGGTCATGAGGTCAAGGCCAAAGGTCATGCGGCTCATTATGTATGCACAAATAGCTTGTGATCGCATTATCATTAGAAGAGATTGATGGATTCCTGCCAAACTTAGATCATGTATGTATCTTGCAGAGCCAATGAATTGAGTAGATTCTTGGGTCATGAGGGCAAAGGTCAAATGTCATGGGCTCTATTATGTATGCAAAAATAGCTCGTGAACGCATTCTGGATAACTATTTAACTCAGGACATCTTGCAGAGCCAATGAACTGAGTAGATTTTAGGGTCATGAGGTCAAAATCAAAGGGTCATATATGATTATGAGAAATTGCTTGTAATCACAATATTCTGAGAACCTGTTAATGGATTACAATTTAACTTACATTTGAAAAATTGCTTTGTTTGGTTTGTAAAATTGCTCTATGACGGAGGCATCATTTTCGACTGCGCGCAGTCGAAGTTCCATCTAGTTTTCCCTATTTTTCCCTTTCTTTCCCCATTTTTCCCCTATTTTATTCCAAATTTCTTACTCAAAAGGCGGAGAACGTTGTTAAATGCCATTTTTTTCCCCTGAATCTTTTTTGTTTGTTTTTTTACTCAAGGGGGAGGTGGTTGAGGGAAGACGAAAAACAATTTTTTTATTTTAGTGCTCACTATCACCCCTGTAGGTGTAACCCTTCCAATACAAACGCACTTTCTTTGTGGCCCATCTACCTAAAAGAAAGATGCTGCTCTGAAATAGTTTTTTAATTTTTTATATTTTTATTTCAACCACTGACAATTCTTCCTACCGCATATGGTGCTCTACTTTTACTAGCAAATTTTACGGGATTTTGGGTGATTTTGGGTCACTGGATGGAAAAGGAAATTGAGATTTCCAAGGTTCCGACGGTTAGTGCAATGATATACTTTTTGAATAGAATATGATTCCTATTTTATTATTTAAAAAATTAAGATGTCGTAAACATATTGGATTGAAAATCATATTAACATTAAGTTGTATGCAACATCCCATTTTAACTGCGGCAGTTTTATGGTTATGAATTATGGTTCAGACATCTCCCTTAGACGTTTACTTGCAGACTCAGTTGATAACTACCAATACACATCTGAGGTGCCTGAACAATAGAAAACTGTCATATGTAAATTATAATTGGTTGTGTCATACACTTCAAACTTATTTGTAGTTATTCAAACCAGTCTGATAAATTGGTTCAGCAAAGAAGGAATAGTGTTTGCTGTACTTCTGGAATGGGGCATCTCGTATTGGCTATCCTCCCAAGACACTATAATGAATGATATGCTGTTTAGGATGATCAGAAATATGCACCAACAGCATTTGCTTTGAGCTTTATTTCATCAATATAGAGATAGATTTAGGGTTGAAGTTTGGAATTTCAAATTGTTTCAAAGTGAGCTCTGGGCCGTGTAACACAAAGCTTGACAGCTGATTGTATGATTAATTTTGCATTAATCACTAAGTGCAATCAATCACAAAAATCAATTGTACTAGGCTTTGTGTTACAGGACCCAGAGCAGTTGCCATTTCACAGTTTTTATCATATGTGATTTTTCACATCCATTATTCTTATGTTTTTGTAAAAATATTAATTTACCATTTTGAATGAGGTTTCCTAAACTAAAACAAATGCCATTGCAATCACTGATAATTCCACCATATTTGGTCATGATTGCTTACTTGTGCAGGGTATTCCAGATCCACCACCTGAAACGCCGGGAGACCAGCCACCTTCACAACCGTCTCTACAATCATCACAGTCCTCATCTCAACCAGGTCAGTGACACTTATAAAAAAAAAGATTTTCAGAGGTCTTTATGAACATTAATTAGCTTATTGATTAGAAGATACCTGATCTATGTGCCATGTTTCAAAATTTCTTTAGCTAATATCCTTGCTGTACACATTTGAGGTGTCTGAAGCATAGAATACCGTCAGATCCCTGTTGGAACCCCTATTGGGTCCTCAGATCTGAGATCCTTGAATCTAGTTTTATCCAAGATCCAACAATAATCCATTTAGATTCTTGCTCTAGCCTTGTTGGACGGTGGATCCTTAGACCCTTCTTGGATCCTTCTTAGAGCCTTGGATTTTGGAACTTGAATCCTTGAATCTTATTTTCAAGATAGTGCAACCTTGTAATGAATTTTGCACAAAGTATTTAGAAGTGTCGTAGTCGAGTGGTTTAAGGACTTGACTTGAAATTCAGAGGTCTTGGTTCAATCCCAGACATGGCACTAATGTCCTTTGGCAAGGCATTAATCTACATTTGCCACTCAATCCCCAAGAGAGAAATGGGGACCCGGTAGGATGACGAAAGCATTTGTGTTAGTAATTGCCTATGCCCTCACGGTGACCATGTGGTAGGAACACTCCCCAGGGAGTGGAGATGGTGCACATTGTGCTTAGAGACGGTACTCCGTATTAAACGCTGTATAAATCCAGATTTATTTAAACATATTTGTGGCTTACACCCAGTAAATAAGATCGATCTGTATTGAAAAACAAGTCAGAAAAAATCTTGGAACCAGCGGGACTTGAACCTGCATCTACTGCTAGCCGGGCAGCGACCGTACCACTAGGCCATCACTGGTCCATGGCACAGTCACGATGAACTAGAGTTCCTGCCCGGCAAGCAGTAGTTGCAGGTTCAAGTCCCCTTGGTTCCAAGATTTTTTCTGACTTGTTTTTCAATACAGATCGATCAATCAATCTTATTTACTGGGTGTAAGCCATAAATATGTTTAAATACTTGAAATTTCTCCCAGGAAGCATTACATTTATAAAATCCAGATTTATTTATTTATTTTGTTTATTAACTGTTCAATCATATTTTTTTCTTTTCAGGAGGTGAAAGTAGTCCTTCATTGGAATTCCTAGATCAACTTCCCCAGTTCCAGCAATTACGGGAAGCCATATCCTCAGATCCAGCCATGCTCAGCCAATTTCTCCAGTCTCTAGGTCAATCAAATCCACAACTTCTCCAGGTAAATGATTTCCTGTAAAATTAGCAATATTTGTGGTACATTCATTTTCACGGATTTTGCGCTGAGATCAGCAAGCACGAATTTTAGAACTCGCGAAAATACGAGCATAACTTTTTATGCATGTTTTGAACGGGCTGAATTGCGTGCAACGCAAATTTAAGAACCAGCAAATATGTTTTGGAGTCGCTCAGCTTGAAAAATTGATCACGCAAAAATAACTGCGGTTACAGCAGTTTTATACCTCCAATTCCCTTTCAAATAGATTTAGGGAAATTAGACCCAAAACAATCACTTTTTCCTTTGTTGACTTAGCCCTATGCATGTACCTTCATGGTTCATTGTGATTATGAAAGTTGCAGCATGTATTTTCCCCCTAAAAATGTTGCAATAAAATCGCAGAAACACACGAGAGGAGATGAACATTTAGCCATTTGTGTAAATTTTTGAAAGTTTTGAACATATGATGTATGATTTCAGAATGTGATTATCTCACTTTTAAAACTCAACACATTATTTTTTAATTTTTCCAAATGAAATCTGTTCTTTCAGGGTTTGTTGTGGGGTCAAGTGCAAACAGATTTATGACAGTATTTTGATGTGCTTCCCTTTATTGATCCCACCCCAATTCCTAATGACTGCATTATAGATTTTGCAGTTTTTAAGAACTAATCGGGCTGATCTAATACCCAAGTTTCCTTTGCTTTATGAGTCATAAGAGTGTGTGGACATCCAAGAGTGCATTCTTAATCTCCTAATAATAATCGTAATAAAAACGTTACTTATAAACCGCTTACCACCAAAGTCTCTAAGCGCTATAACAAACAAAATAGACTGATAAACAATTACATATTTAACAAAACGTGCAAATAAGCCTACAAATTACAATACATATGAAATACACATCAAAGTGAACAGAGTAAGTTAATCATCGAAAGCAAGTTTGAATAAGTGTGTCTTAACCCTTACTGTACTGGGCTATTTTGAGCACCTCGTGCTGTGATCTTGGGCCTGAAAGTCCGATGAACACGAGAATTTGCACGTTTGTAGATATTTACGTAAGGAACAAGATGGTATAATCGTTTTTTTCCTAATATGCCAATTTTTGTCGTTATAGCCTAATTAATTATTCAAAATGCTAATTTTATGCATTTTACAGAAAACACTACATATTTGTCTGTAGACTTGTAAAGAATGTTGAAAATGTATTAAATAAATGTTTCCTTCATCTCAAATTCATGAGGTTACATTATTTTTATGATATTTGAAAATGCATAGGTTAATTTGCATAAATTATGAATACGCATTCATGAATATCAAATCTGGATATATACAGGGAACTAGAATCATTACAAAAATTGTCAGACTCCACTTTTTGAATGTTAATTGAAACTCATTATTCATATGAAACTTCTTTTCTAACACAAAATAGTTATTTTTATGTAATTAATAATGATAATTTATGCAAATTTGATGCAATTTTCAAATATTTATTTTCTTTTGTATTTTATTGTTTTTTATTTCTTATTATATTTATTGTTTTATTTCTAATGTATTCTTTTTTTCTGGAATACATCAAGTTACTTTGAGAAACATATAAAAGCAATTTCATATCTCCCACTTGGAAGAAATACATCTAAACCTGTATTCACATTTCTGCTTGTACATGAATAGATGCAATTATAGCATATTTTTGAAGAGATGCGCATACTAATTGTAATGTAACACCTTACAGGTATATCCAATTTTGACGAAAATGGTATCAAAATATGCTTAAGACTTGAGGGGAAAAAGTCATGAAACGACAATTCAAAATTCCAAGCGGTTGCGGAGCAATCTCCAAAAATGTCGAGGGGGGGGGGGGGGCCTCTCAGGCCCCCCCCCCCCCCCCCCCCAGTACAGTAAGGGTTAAGACAAGTTTTGAATTGGTCAACAGTTTGACAGTTTTTGTCATTTAAAGGTAGTCTGTTCCAAAGATCAGCAGAAGCTTTGCAAAAAGAGCGATAACCTACTGCTTTCTCTCTCCCAACCCCCCCCCCCCCCCTCTTACCCTGAATGTGATTAGATCATAAGCCAACGGCAGGAGGAATTCATCGCCCTCATCAACCAACAGCCTGATGCAGCTGCACAGCCTGCTGTAGGAGGAGGAGGTGGAGGATCAGGAAGAGGAGGGAGTAGTAGTAGCTCGTCTCTGACCTCAGCAGCACAGCCAGGAGGACAGCAGTCATCATCACAACCCGCCAACCCCCCAGCCCAGCAGGCAGGGGGACAGGGTGGGGGACCAGGTATCAGGATGTCAGAAGAGAATCCAGGGGTTGCTTACATTGAACTCATGCCAGAAGAGAGGGACGCAATTGAAAGAGTAAGTCCAAATTAATGTCCAACTATCCAGTTTTCAACAATTCTTTGCTCTCAGTTTCATAATGTAAGTAACAAAATTAATAGTAATAATCCCTCTAATGATATAACAATGGTGTTATAGGGAATGATATGGTATCATTATTATTATTAAATCCATACTAATTCTGTCTTTTCTCTCTCTCTCTCTTATATTTTTCTTTCCTCAGTTGAAGGGGCTCGGTTTCCCTGAAGAGTTAGTAATACAGGCCTACTTTGCTTGCGACAAGAATGAGAATTTAGCCGCCAATTTCCTCCTTCACGAGAACTGAATCACCTGTTATTGTTTTTCAGAAGTCACGTCTATTGGCTCTTGGTGATCAAGGGTCCTTATTTGTAATATGTATGTTTAAAAAAAGAATAAAGTTTGCAACGAAGAAGACTTTTCATAATCAACTCTCAAACTTCGTAGGGGGATTCCAAATCTGCACCAGTGTAGTATAAGTCACATTAATTTTCAAACTTGGAAGGAAATAGTCTCTTTTTTATATACCTGTAATGGCCAGTTGTAGTTTAGTGTAATTCTTAGCTGCAAATGCCAAACCAAACCAGTCGCCAGCAGTATTTTCTCATACCATGTCATTTTGTTGTGAGTTCCTCCAAATTAAACATCAACTGAAACAATATGGAGCACATCTGCAAAATATATGTAATCGTGGTCAACACTGAAAGTGCTACTGCAATAAAAGAAGAATGTATGATTGAAATTTCTTTTACATTACATTTTAGATGATTAATAATATCTGGGTTTGTGTATGTACCGAAAGAAGTTGCTCTTATATTGCTCAATTCACAATAAACTCAAAATCATTTACAAAGGTGATCCACTTTTGTCACTGCTGCTAGAATCAACCATTTGTGAGCACTTGAAAATACCAATATACCAAGATGCAGCAAGCTAGCTACACCAGGTTCAAACTGCTTACCAGATAAAATGGCATGAATTAATCTCTTCACTGAATTTAGGAAAGAAAAACCTCCTTTTACCCATAGTACTTCAACCCAAATTGGTTTTAAATGCCTGATGAGTCAGCGATAAAGCATTTGTACAGTAAAGTATAAAACCTCTGTATGTGATGTTGCACATACGAGTCTATGTGTGAATACCCATTTTATTATTTCACTACCAAAGTGGCTGGATTACATTGAATTTAGTGAAGATTGAATACCCACCGTAATCACTTTAAACTCCTGGAAATCTGACTTTCATTAGTTTGTTTCTCCAGAGGTAATGACAAAATTGTGATATATATTAATTTCATTAAATAATCTCTCTTTAATAACAAGCTTACTGAAAATGACCCTTGACAGATTCATGGTTGCTACCAACTATGACTTAAGTCCTTACTTTCCCGATGGCCATGTTGAGTTGCGGAACGTTATGAATCCTTTCCCTTTTCTCCAACCAAACCAGTGCCATTATAACTTGACTGCTGCATTGTATCAACAAGTTAGATAACACTTGCTGCTTGGCTCTTGGTATTCACTCCAAGACATTTGTACTATTAACCAAGTAATAGCTCTATGGGATGAATAACGGTGCTGCTTAAACTGTACTACTGGTAATCCCCTAACAAATATTATGTATACAGCTAGAATGTATCAAATCAACCTAAAATAAAATTCCCGGCTTTCAATGGTCTAACGAATAAGAAGGGAGAAGAAAATAAAGAAATACATAAAACACACTGCGCACGGAACCGATGTTGAACTTGGGTTCCGTGAGGGCCTTTTGATGCAGGCCCTATTCTATGTATGTGGACCCGTACAGGTGCGTTGAGTAGTCTACCTACCAGTCCCTATTGTATTAATTTAGAGTGTATCTACTCTTGCAGTATCTCTTTATTGAAGCAATATAGGAAACTCATAATTTCAATACTGTATGGCAAAATATTACCCTAATATAACAGGGCAAAATACTTTCTGGTCATTGGTACATTTTAAGGGGAAAATCACAGCCTGGTTCATGTACATGTTGCTATAGATTAAGGGTTACTTGCACTTGGTATTAACTTCATGGCATTATATTCTACTGTATATGCTTAATCAGTTTAACTATGGGCTGGAGTGTTGGCTCAGTCAGTAGAGCATCCGCCACACAACTGGGAGGTCGTGGGTTCGAACCCCGGCCGCGTCATACCAAAAGACGTTAAAAGATGGGAGTTGTTGCTACCTTGTTTGGCGTTCAACAATAAGGGATAGAGCAACGTCGATCTGGCGCTGCTCAGTGGCTGCCGGGCTCACGATCAATTGGGCAAAAAGAATTTCCGTTTCGGTTTAATAAAATTTGGAGTGGACTATTAGGCTATTATTATTATTATTATTATTATTATTTTGGTTAACTAAGGATTAGCTGCAAGGGATGAATACATGGTAATGAAGATGTGAGTTGATCTCACATTCGCCTGCAAACTGGCTCAGGCGACCCTGGTTCGAAAATGGTAATGTTAAAGGTCGGTCCCAAGATAATATTAGGGACTTTTAGATTTGCGTGGACTGATACGTGTGACGTCCATTCAAGGCAGTGCATTAAAAGGACGTCGACCGTAGCAATCCGCATTGTCTTCGTGCAAATCTAAAAGTCCCTAATATCTGATGGATACCCGTCTGTAAAACACACACACAATGTGTGGGGTTCAATAAATGCTACTTGTATCACCACATAAGTCATAACTATCATTTTTAATTACATTTTTTTAAACCTGACTTTGGCTATATAATTGCATGCTCTGTAGAATTACACTTGTGAACTTGTATAATCAACTTGACAACATCAGATTAAAATGTGATGCCCATCGACTTCAGATGATCAAAATAACAAAGCTGGCAATGTGTTCCATGCATACTACGTCGTTCATTGTTGGCAATACTGGGAATGTTCAATGTTTTTCTTCTATGCCAGCAATTATTATTATTGTTTATTTGTTTGTTTGTATATGTTTTATAATATTGTACAAAGTATTGATCAAAGACAAGGACTGCTAGTAACTGGAAGAGTGCCAAGTGCTAAAGTGTCACTCCCGGATGATATGCAAACCTATGGCCATGTGATGGTACAGTGTAAAAGCAAAAGTGTACACACTACATGAACTCACCTTGCCCAAGGCAACTGATTACAATTATTCTTATACAGTTTGGGAAACCCATAGTCTAGTTCTCAATCATTATTTTCAATCATTTTTGAACTTAACATTTCTGTTAAAGAATCAGCAAATAGAATTTGCATTTAAGTTGGTATTGTAAAGACTTTGTTGACCCAAGCTGGAGATATTTATTTCCAGTAGCATCCAATGATCAATAGATATCTTTGTTACAAACATTATCCTCATTCTTTACTATTCTTTTTGTCTATTTTTTTTTTGGTTCAATTTTAATTTCAATCAGATATATCTCTCTGGTATTTCAATCATTATGGGATACTTTAAAGGAAATTTTCTGGAACATAGGTACAGGTATTCAATATGTATTTTGATTTCCAGCCAATGGTGTTTAACTCTTACAACCAAGTAATATGCTTGACACTATTGCCTCAAAATGACGGAATGAAAACGGCTGGAATTTTGGGAGGGAAAGATAGTATATCTAATTTTGCTTGCTTGCCAATTTTGTTTATGAGTGCTTGGTATGAGTACCACATTTATTCTCTTATGGTCTTCATGATGTGACCGATACTAATACCAAAGGCATTTTATTACTTGAAAAAGATTAATTAGTGAAAATTCCACATTGCCAAATTTTGTTTGGTTCAGACTTCTTTTAAGAAATCTCTCACCCCATTATCCAAACTGAAACAATTAGCGTAGATAGGGCTTTACATTCGCTTCATAGTATTTCCATTTACAGTTCATGTTTCCATATTGCATCCCCCCCCCCCTCCCCCCCCTTCTTTATGAATGATGATGATGATGATTCACCGCATTTGTATGGCGCCATATATCTGTTTAAAAAAACATTCAAAGGCGCAAGCTCCTCCAATAAAGTTAGCATTTAAATGTCTGAAGGAATTTGACAAAACCTACATGTATTGAAATGGGGCATCATCATGAATACTCTGCAGATAAACTTTGATAAATTTTGTTTTTACTATTGTTGAAATTATTCTAGATGGGCTAAACTGGTGGTATACAAAAGAAAAACATGGTAAAATCAACATTATTCCCATAGATTGAAATCGTTACGAGCCATACTAGGAAGAATCTTGTTTTTTGTGTAAATTAAGAGTTGCATGTGTATGTTGTGTACATGACACAGTCATTTATTTATTGTACATGTACGAAATTGGACCTCACTTCAACTTTTTCTCAAAATTATGAGGATATAATATATGTACCTGTATAAGCTTTTTAAAGGTACATGTATAAACTACACTTATTATTACTTCTCAAATTAATTTTAGTTTAATTTCAAGAACTACCAAATTGTAATATAAGTTGACTGAAAAGCAAGTTTTATTTCAATAAAAATGTCTCGCAATTTGCCAAGGGTCTCGGATAAGTCTTGTTTTTTTAATATTCATATATTTTATGAGAGTTAGCTGAAATCAAAGACAAAAGAATATCGGAATATACAATGAAAATTTGCAAATTAGTCCTAGTACATGCAGTACCTACTCAAAGTATACCCGGTAATTGAAATGGCTGTTTCACGAGAAATGTACATTTGTTGGTATATGAAAGACTGTTTGATACTTATGACTGCATATACATGTATATATCTCAGAATAAAGGCAAATTGATCTTTTTCTTTTTGCTTAAATGAAATCTTTGTTGCACATCTTTATTTTATTTGTAAACGGCTAGTTCTATAAAATCAAGTTTGCTGAGTACATTTCTAGTGTAAAGCGACTGACACGAGCAACGTTTTGGACACACTGTTACATAAAACACGATATCAATATTACGGTTCACAGACATTGATATAAGTTAATAAAATGGTTGCATTTGATTGGAAATGTTGGTATAGCCACAATCAGGGTGCAAAACCATTTGCACTTGGGTCCAAAAATGAAGTATGCAATAGAGCAGTTTCATCAACCCCAAATTGTTCATCCATACCCTAGGGTCAATAACCTGCAATATCTCGGAGGAAACTATCTTGGTTATCATTTTATGAACAGCAACACAACAGGGGGTGGTAGGTGTTACGGACACTACACAAAGCAGGAATTACACCGTTACGGACACTACAGGAAATTCCGGACAAAAGTTATGATCGGAATGTGGGCATATATTTTTGTAACACTTGTATCTTTATTTTTTTTTTTTTTCTGATGATAGGACAACATGTTACTCAGAAAATATAACCAATTACCAATTGGTATGATGCTAAAATATATGAATTATAGAGGCAAAATTATACACAAAGTTGTTTTTCAAAAAAGCGTTACGCTTGTCTCTCTTCACAGAAATAACCACTGTATCGCAATTCTTGGGTCAATTCTCAAGCCGTAAAAAAATACTGAGTGGAGATAAAAAGGACTACAAGCTGGCATGAAAATATATGGCATATCTTGTGTAAATCCATGTTTAACACCTAATGAAAATAGACACTTTTTCGAAGTGCAAATGCGTAACAGCCAAAAAGTGGTATTTCTGGCCCTCTATTACCATTCTCACACAGCCAACACAAAATAAATTCAAACAAAAGTTGCTGCCTGATGAAGAAATCATATGGTCCAACATTTCAGGCCACAACACATTTGATTAAACGACTTTGTGTTTCCAGGATAGATGCGTAACACTGTAGGTAAAGTAGTTGCACCCTGATTGTGGCTATATAGTTTGTGGCAGGCATTGTAATATCAGTTTGTAGCTTGCCAAAATTGAATATTGACTTTCTTTTACTTCTGCAAATGAGGATGGTATAGCCATTCAGTCCTTGGTATGATTACTTGGTATGATTCTTCAAAATCTGTTAATATTATCTGGTAATAAAAGTGCGAGATAATCTTACAAAGTCACAACTGAAGGTCCTTCAGTTAATACCATTTTACATAGTGAAAGTAGTGGCACTGCAATATGGTGGCAACATACTAAAACAAATAATTGATACAGTTTAAATTATTCAATAATTTTTGTTTTCAATTCATATTTTCTTTATCATTATTTTTTATTCAAAGCAAGACATCTGAGTTGACCAACATCCCACATATTTCATTAACACAGAGACCATTATTGTATTACATATATACCAAATAGGACCGAATATTTCAAACTTCCTATTTTCCCCTGAATTTTGTGATCTGTTCATTCATTTTAACCAGTACTCAGTTATAGGATATTGCAAATAGGTCTAAAGTTTATTGGGAAAGTTGTGTAAATCAAGATGGTTGCAGCATGTAATACATTGTACATTTAAAACATTAATCAGGATCTGCTTTGCAATTATGTGAAGTTGTCTGTGTTAAAATTATTTTGGTAAAATTAGGAAGATTATGTACTGCACATGGTTTAAAATATGGATTCACTGATGAAGCAAAAAGACACTTTACAACTTTACAACATTTATGTTTTTAACTGTTCTGGTACATGCCCTTAAAGGAAAAGACCAGTTTTGGAAACGCCCCCCCCCCCCCTCTCAAAAAATGAAAAGGAAGCTCTTATTACCAATCATGTAAAAGAATGTTTTTGACTAATACACGATCATACAAATTTTGCTGAGAAACCGCCTTCTAATATATTTGGTAAATTATTATATCTACCAGTATTTGGACCTGATAGATATAACGCACGTGTCGCGCATGTGTCGCGTTGTCCCATATACATCTTTCTGTTTACAGTGCTTGTAACTTTACCAAGACTGGGCCAAATTTCTTATCATTTTGATGATTACAGAACCTTGCAGTACACACCAATACTTATATGCTAGATGATCAACCTTTTCTGATCGATTCCACAACGTTGGTTTCACAATGCAATCGCATGACCATAACTGGTCTTTATCTTTAACTTGGATTTTAATTTTTAGTGTTAACATACTAAAAATTTGAGTTTGAGTATTGAATGACAAACTATACAAAATACAATTAGAAACACGTTTTCATGTAAATTGGATGTTTTTAAAAGTTTCAGGTAGAGGCAACCGCTCCATAGGTGAATGTCCTTATTCTTGGTACACCGCATAGACTGTGACCTCACCAAACCAACCCTTGTTTTGTTTTGTCACAGATATAAACCCATCTGTCTGGGTGTCCCAGACACAACGGCTTGAACTGACCAAGTCCTGTCCAGATTTCAGGCATATCGTTGCCAAAGAGATGACCTTGTAGCGTTCCAACCGCTCCAGCTTGACCTGGTGTTTGATGGACTCAGCCAGCCTGTTTGCAGCACGTGCAGCCTCTGTTGCAGTAGTTGATGAGTCGGCAGAAAGATCGTTGAGGGTGTTTTCCAAGTAGTCTTCCATCATTGTGCGGATGCTTCCCTCTGCCCGGTGAAAGTTGGTCCTAGGTTCCATGCGATATGTTTTCTCGTACTTCACTCCCTTTTCTTCCGAGGACTGATGGCACTGCCTGCCCCTGCTGTTCTGTCCAAAATAGTTGTCCCAGCTTGAAGAATTCAGGCTGCTGGAGGCGTCGGTGCGATAGGCGGGGTAAGTACTGCGCTTGTTTCTGGACATCACTGGATGGCGGATGCGAACCTCTCCTATTAGATCTCTATGGCTGCTAATGCCAGGAAGGAAGAGAGGTTTCTTGTGACTTGGGGCAGGACCGCCGTCTGACCAACTATCCCATTCCTTGATGGAGCTAATGCTACCTGAACGCATTCGTCTTGAGAGATTTGTATCGGCTCTCAAACGGGACACTCCACCAGAGCTGCGATTAAACTGTCCCTGTGACGCTGCTAACGCATTCTGCAAGTACACCTCATCAAAGGACACCGATCTACGTCTACCACTCGACACTAAAGGCTCCGATTCCAGCAGATTGTGTTTACCTCTTGGCTTGGACAGTCCCGGGGGTTGGACTCGCTGAAGACCTGCACTAGGTCTACCCTCTGGTCTCTTGGATGTCGGAGCTACCGGTGGAAGGATGGTGCCATGACTACCATTCCACAGCTTCCTTGATTGCATCACCTTACTGTAACTGGGTGATGCCATTCCACTTCTCTAGCAACAAAGGTTTCCTCAATCGGTTGTGGATACCTACCTATAATGTATAGAACACAAAACTTTTAATTATCAGCCCATTTGGCAATTCTGTTATTATAAGTGGTTTGATGTACAGACACTACATTTTCCAGCAGAGGTGAATTTTTGAAGTCTTGCTCGTATTTAATATACTCTCTCATTTGTAGACAAAACACCTAACTTTTAAGGTATTTACTT